AAAAAAAATCGAGAAAATCTACATCCTGTGATGGTCTTTCACAACCCATTCCGGGTTGACGTTGACTTCTGGGACAACCTGTATATTATCATATGCATTATCTTTTAAATAATTTAAGATGTTACTTATTTTTAATTGAATTTTAAATTAAAAATTAAAAATTAAGGTTGGATCCGCAAAAAGTACCGGTACTTGAGTAGTATCGATACTTTCATATCGATACTAAGTATATTTGGACACGATAATTTTGTTCCGATATTTTTGAGGTATCTATACTTTTATAAGTACTCGATACTTTTAACAAAATTTGAGTCTCATCATTAGATTTGGGTCGTAGGAGTAGGAGATTACCCTTCTATCGACAATAGCTTATGATTAGAGCGTGTGTTGCCAGTTTCTCGTGATATTTAGTAGATTTATTTTTATCAATTCAGTAAAAAATGATTTAATACAGTTTAATCCTAATTTACTTTTTTAATGTTGCTCTAATTTATTTTTGTACTGACAATTTAATACGTCGAAATTTTAATTTAGTTACTTTGATAGAATTATTAAGTGTCTCATTGGTGATGAGTTGCGAACTTCAAGTTCCGAAATTTCTCGGATAATATTTGATATTACGGATATTACTCAAACGGAAGTTATAAAATAAATTGGAAAGTACTCGATACCTAACAATATTGATAATTTTGTTTCGATACTTTTCTCGGTATCGAGAAATCTGATACGATACTGGTATCAAGTAAAGTCTCGATACTTTTGAAATTTTGTGGAACACTAAGAAGAAGAAATACCTAAATAGGAAATAAGGAACCAACTAGATTAAAACTTAGAAACTAAAATCCAAAACAAATCATCCGGATTTTCTGCCGATTTTACATATCTGAACTGGCAACCCTTTCAGTCTGTTTATGTTTAATGGGGATTTCCCTCAAACTTTCGGAGGTATCCTTTAGCTACATTCGTACAACGCGTCATTTTAGGGGAATCCCTTAAATATCACATATAAGGCTAAAATGTCTTTAAAAGTATAGATAAGTATAGATACGCTTTAAAATGGCAATACGAAAGTCAGATAATTGCCCGACTCACATTCAGTCGGGCACGCTCTCGCATCGCGACTATACCTTCGCTACAGCGCGTATTTCTTCTAGTTATTCGTGGCAAAATGCCTTCCTATGTTTTTAGGTTGTACACAAATTACACGGCAACTGTCAGAGACAAGAAAAACGTCTCATTAATATTTTGAATATAGATGTTTTGTTCATAATTGGTTTTATTATTTTAACACTAACCGCTAGTGTAAACTTTGACGCTAGCTAGTGTGTTCATTTTCCATATCGGTATGTCACGCGCTCGCGTCAACGAGCGCTCGGCAGCAATCAATACGCAACTAATGATGTATATTCATCTTTTTCTAACGATATGGTATATATATAGGTATGCCCTATCATTTCTCTTTTTGTTAGCGCAACGTGTCATAATAAATAAATGAACGTAGATATAGTACTACCTGCGCCACTTTAAAATACAATAATGTTAGTGTGTAACCTGTCTATCTTTTTTAATACGTCTTTGATATAAGCAAAATATTGTACTATTTTTCCATTACTTATTTAGAAGACTCCTAGTAAAAATGTTCTGCCCTAGAGACAAATTTTCGTCTTTGTCTCTAGGGCAGAACATTTACACAACACAACTACAACTTCCGGTCTATCTGAAGATGACTACAAAAATTAGAAAGCATGTAGGTGATATGCGAAACGAAATCATGAAAGCTAGCTAGAAGCTGTAAAATCTTGGGTAGAACTTTCACGTAGGCTCAATTCGTGTCGTACGATAGATGCCGAGTCACAGAGAATAATTAAATCAGAAATAGAACACTGGAATAGAGTATTGTTACGAATTGCCACAATCATCAAAATGTTGGCAAAAATGGCTTGGCTTTTCAAGGTACTTTTGATAATCTGTATCAACATAACAATGGTAATTTTTTAAAACTAGTAGTTGTTAGCCGAATTTAATCCCGTTATGCAGGAACATGTACGCAGGTTTTTTAAAAAAGGGGAGAAACAAGCAACCTACTTAAATAAAACAATTCAAAATGAGTTCATTAATACAATTTCAAACGGCATAAAAAACATATAATGGAAACTATCATTACATCGAAATATTATTCTATTATTTTAGATTGTACTCCAGACGCTAGCAAAACTGAGCAGATGATCATGATAATTAGGTATATTTCTATTCAATCCCAAGACCATTCAAAAACGTGAGACATTGTAATAAATGAAAGTTTTTTATGATTTATACCAATAGGGAAATCTACAGGTCTAGCACTAACAGAAGTTATCGTGGAACAATTATCAGCACTTGGATTATCTTTAGAAAACATAAGAGGGCAAGGGTACGATAATGTATCTAATATGAAAGGTATTCAAAGTGGCGTCCAAGCCAGGATTAAAAACACCAATCCACGGGCATTTTACGTTCCTTGCAGTAGTCATTCTTTAAACTCAGTGGTAAAGGACATGGCAAAGTCCTCACTGGAAGCTACAATTTTTTTTTAATACTGTGCAAAAAATATATGCTTTTTTTCCATTTCAACATTAAGGTGGTCAATCCTTTTGAAGAATGTATATTAGTCTAAAACCACTTAGTGACACGAGATGGGAAAGTCGAATCGAAGCACTAAGACATCAAATAGGACAAGTTTAAGACGTATTGGTTAGTGTTTACCAAAACACAGATATTGAACCAAATTAAACAGTTTAAATTTTTATGTTCCATTATGATTTGGTACGATACTTTGAATCGCATAAACCCTGTTAGTAAATTAATGCAAAGTAAAGATTTTGACTAGTTTCCGTCATTAAATTACTTAGAAATACAAAAGATTTATTTGAAAACTCACGTTGAGATGAGTATTTTACTCAAGTCCTTGAAGAACTCCCAAAAGATGAATTGTAAGAACATCGAGGCTATTTTAACTCATGAGAACTCAAGCGATATAAATGCATTAGAACTTTGTGACGAGTTGTCAGTCCTTTGTATGTTTTTAAATAGTAATTTATCTCCTCAAAATGTTTTGAAATTTGTAACAGATTTAAGATTTCGTCCAAATATCAGTATTGCGCTCAAGATCCTTTTAACTTTACCAGTAACAGTTGCAAGTGGTGAAAGAAGTAAAAATAATAAAAAATTATCTGCGATCCATCATGACATAGAATAGATTATCTGGATTGGCTATGATTTCAATAGAACACAGGTTTGCGACAGTATACCTACATTTATCAGATATTATTAAAGATTTTGCAGAACAAAAAGTGCGAAGAAAATTACGATAATTACGAGGTAGAATTTAATACTCTCCGAAAAACTGTTTAATTTACACAATTTCATTATTTAAAAAAATGACTGATTTGTTTTGTATTAACGTATTTGTTTTTTTATCAGTATTAAATTTTAAAACAAATCTTTTGCTGTGTCTTTTGTATACGTACCGTATGAACCTTAACTTAAATACATAATATGAACCGATTGACCATAATAAACAATTAAACAGCTGTGTCCTAACCTTTTTAACTTCTGAAACAATTTTGATGAAAAATGTTTATTGTTTCTTTAGTTAAAGGGTCATCACTCATCATACATAGGCAAGATTAGCCCGAGACAGTGAAAAATAGCACAAGGGAAAAGAGGTCCATACTCCACACGCAGCAGTGAGTCGCAATAGGTTGATGATGATGATAAAGTTGAAAGGTACATAACTATGTCGATAAAAAGATATATCAATCCATTCAGTAGTTTCTGTGAAATTCTTTAACACTCATCAACTTTCGTATAGGTACTTCTTCAGTGGACCCAATAGACTGAAATGTTAATATTATAGGTAGGTATAATCCCAACAATATGACGTATTTTATGTAGGTACTTGTATACTTAACATCCCCCAACATAATGAGCTCATGACTTATATGGATTTGGATATGTAAAGGGCGGCAGAAAATTATCTTTGCCCGGAGCGGCTAAATAGCTAGATCGGGCCCTGCGCTCGCGTACGAAATTTTAAGATAAACTCTTATCCCTTTATTTACCACGTCTTTATACAACTTTAATGGAATAATTTTATTACTAAGTTAATAAAAATAATAATATTTTCCTTGTATTTTTATAAAGAAGAAACCCTAAATATATTTACAAAACTAATACAGCTTTTCTTTCTTCCAAAACTACAATACTGCATCGAATAAAATATAAATACAACGGTTAACATGAATATCTAAAAATCTAATCGGAACTCTGGTTTCAAGTACTCTATTAATAACAGTTTATAAGCATTCCTCAGTTGATTTCATTCCAACTATATTCGGTACCGGATCGCTCGTTTGTTATTATTAATTTCTTCAAATACAAAATTATTGTAGACAACTTATATAATTTTGAACCATTTTTATTAGAGTGAAAATATTGACACTAAACACTAATATACCAAGTTACCAGGTAATTACATCCGAAACAGCATGTTTCATTTTACTAATTTCTAAATTAAAGATCAAATACTTTGGTATACTTCTGTATCTTTTCTTTGCATTTCACATCATAAAGATTCGAGATAATGTCATGTTATCTCGACTGTGTTTTTAACTATAGAAAAGCACCTGTGCATGCGTCATTCTGTAAAATATACCTTTATACGGTTCTATCTACAGTCAAGTTTTCTGTAGGCCATATAACTGTATTGGAGGAACGAATAAACAAACCACGGAGCAGTACAAGCTGAAGTCTCGCAGCATAACTACACGTGCATCGTGCAGTGACGTACTAGCTGTAAAGTATTAACCCGGAGGTTTGTGTAGTGACAGTGTGTTTATTTTCCACATTACCTACGTCATCTTTGATCCAAAATCCAATCTATCATTTCCTCATTCATTAAGAATCTTTAATAGACAAGAGATGTCTCTTTAGTGAATTTTAATATCCAGAATTAATCGAAGATGCTGAAAGTATGTTGGGATTGCATCGCTGGGTATGATTTAATATTTGTTTAAATATAGAAACTCAACAGTGTAACATTAATTTATTTCAAAATTTTTTATGGATGCCAGTTACTAAAATTCCTAGACGTCATTAGAAATGTCAATGTCAAACAAGATTCAGTTCGCGTTTCATAACAATGGTGTAAAAGTATAAATTTTCATACTTATTGAAAACAAAGTCGTAATATTTAAAAAAAAGTCGTAAAATTGTAAAAGAACAATATTACATAAAAGTAAATATGTTATGACTTAAGATGCAATAAACGGTTATGATGCGTATTAACGTTTTAGGTTAGAATTGAATATGTTGTGTATACAATAAATAAATATAAATACAAGACCTATGTTCAGCAGTTTACTTGTAGTGGATTGCAATGAATGACGATAATACAGTAAATTAGTCAATAATGTTAATTACAAGTTCTTTAATGTTTTCAATTCTATAATTTCCAAGGAATTGTGATTTATATGACTGTTCAATTATTACTGATGATTATATCATTATGAATGATAAATGAGTCCTTTTTTATCGTTGTAGATCGCGCGTAGAAAATGAGGATGTGCACACTACTCAACTGAATGGTAATACTCAAAGAGCTCCACCTTGGCCAATATCACAGTTAAGTAACGAAAAAATGTTTATCTTGCCAAAGAGATTGAATGCAGGTGATCAAATTAATGTTGCTGGCAACATGATGAATGACCCAAAAACGTAAGTAAATTTTGTCACCATAACACAACACGCACAATATTATTAAACAATAAAGTTCAACTGCAGTTTAAGAAGCAACAAATTCCTAACTATGTAACTCATTAAATTACTCATGCAAATGATGGCAGATCATCCAAAAATTAAACAAGGGATTTATATTACAGTTTAGTCTCATATAGTTCATCATTGAATCTGATAATTCAAATACAGTAGGGCCTCTATAATTGGAAAACAAAATTTACACCCTGTTTGGATTCATGAGGTATTCGGATTAAAGTATGTAGATATTTTAAAAGGTGTTTTCTGAAATGAAACATAGATTTTATAATTGAAAGTGAATACAAATTTTAATCAATATATATTAATTGTAAAAGAAAATCTAACTTTGACGAGTAGTGTTTAGTGACAAAGAAAATGCTTTACCCCTCAATTCATACAATAACATTTTTTTTAAATTTAAATATGAAATATCTACTTGAGTGGGTGGGTTGTTCAGATTATAAAGGTGTTCGAATTATCGGGGGTTTGGATTATCAAGGCTCTACTGTAATATAATATACTATAGAATAAATCATGTTGTATAAATATTACTGAAATTGAATCCGATACTAAAACTATCTATAAATGTTACTAGTTGCCGAACTAAGTCTCCATTGAGGCTGACTACCATGATCAAAATTTGGTCTAAAGTACATATCACATTTTACTTTAACTTTTTCAGATTGACAGTAAGTTTAATGACTGGGAATATGACACCAGACTACCAAAACATTGCATGCCAACTGGAAGCCACATTTCCATCTAATCCTTATAATCCTAATCAATTGACATTAAAAATTATTGAAAATGGATATAATGAAGAAGTAACGGGAGACTATCAAAGTTTTCTTGCAACTGAATTATTTACAGGTAATATTATCATTGTCTGTTTGTAAAGAAACACCATGATTCTCATCAGTCTTTTCTTTCCTGTACCCAATGCAATACAATTACGAATGTGCACAAGGTAGCAAAGAACCATGCCCACTTTTCATACATTTAAAAACCTGATAGTAAAAGTTTATGTATAATTATAACGTATAGTAGAAAAACTTCCTGTAAGTTTAGCAAATAATGTCATGTAGTCATTTTTATGATTTAAACGCTACGAAGCCCAAAAATATTAATGTTACTCTTTAGGTTAGGATTTGCCGTTAGCAAATACTTAATTTTTCTATCTCTTATTAATGTTCTATCACCACTTCCTCTGAGATTATAATGAGAAAAATCTTGTGTATCCCTACATATTTCTATTCTATATGATCTATGAAAAGCACACAAAATGGCACAATACACAACGAGACGCAAACACAACAAGTGATTATATTCTCTTTGGCAACAACGAAGGCACAGACTACATACTTACGCATGAACGAAGGACTGCGCCGATGCTAATCGTAGAACTGTCAGATGTCAAAAAAATCCGTTTCACTCGTATGCACTCAATGACATACTGCATGATTAATTTATTTAATTATTATATTATTTTTAATTAATCTGTACTATACAAAGAGTAATAAAGAAATATATATAAAAAAGAATATAAAGAAATACTTACTGATTAAATAAAATAAATGTTTAAAACTCAGAAAAAGTTCAATTAAGTCAAGTAGCAGTATGTGGAATGGAACATCCTAGAAAAATGGTATTTGAAATGCGTTCAAAATATGGTGGTAATCAGTATACCCTTGACGTAGAATAAGCATAAATAAATATTAAAAAAATATATTTCTCCTGCGTTTCTTTTAACATTGTGATACGCGTATTTAATTTAGAATTCAATTAGCTGAATTTTAAGATATGAAATAAATCTTAAAATTCAGCTAATTGAATTCTAAATTAAATACTTCTATACATACTCAGGTGAAAAATGGGCATCCTTCTTTATATTCGAAATTTAAGGTGAGACAGTCTCTTTTACTGAATACTAAACAAATTGTATTTAATTATGCTAGATTTTTCATGTACAACCACAAAACATTTTCTTGAGAAATCTTTATCCATCAAATTTTTACTTGCTTAATTTGTCGGCATATTATACATCCATGCATTACTCATTGTATACTTGTGCCGGACATAATGCTTGTTAGATCAAATTAGAGGTAGGCTAGGTCTGAGATATTGGGATAATCACAATACTACCAGACCTAAAAACCTATGAGGCGTTTTACATAAAGATTGACTCCAGCTGGGATTTGAAATTAATTTGGAGTTTTATTATACTAATTCTAGTAGAAAATGGTGTTTGGGTTGTAAGTTGGTAAAAAATTATATCCCAATGTCGTTCATATATTAATATTATTTATTTATATTATTACTTTAGGTTAAGAAATGAGCCTATAAATAATTGTTCGAGGTGTGAATGTTTTGTCGATGTGCAATTAATGTTTATAAAATACCTCCATATTACAAGAGAAAATCCTAGTATGCAGGTAACGTTTTTATTAAACAAGTGGTTTATTAAATAACCTAGAAAAAAGTTTGGAAGTAACACACATTAATAAAAATACATTCGAATTGAGAACCTCTTCAGTTTTTTGAAGTCGGTTGAAAAATAATGATGAATGCTGATGAAGTATGGTGGTAAGACTTCCTCTATGCCCGTCAGAACAAAATATCTTTAATTTGTGCTATTAATCTGTGTATGAATGCAAGTATTAATTTAGTATCATCATTGTACCTGAATCAGCTGCCAAAAAGCAGTCCACCCACTGCTGTGTTCCAGTTTGTGTAAAGTCAGTATAATTTACAGGCAGTGTGGCATACCATCTTATTCTCGAGAGGAGGCAACTAACCAGCGGCTTTTTGTTCGAGGACTTGCCATCAAGTTACGTAAACTTTTATGTATTTAGAAACACAAACCAATTAAATAAAATCACTTTTTCAGATCTGAGCTTCAACTTTGGCTTCACTATAAGAGTTAATGGAAACTATCAAAGTGGCCACATACTAGACATTTTTGTTGGGGAATCATTTTTGGAACAGGTGACATTAAAACATAATATTGATGACATAAGATTTCTAACATTGAGTGGTGATATTGCTAAAGTTCATAAACTGGATTTTCAGTTTGCTTGAAAAACCGGTGCACAAAAAACACACAAAGCAGTATTTATCGGTTTACCTATGTAAACAGAATTAAAAGAGTTATTTACAACTTTTACTTGTTGCCATCCACTTTTTATTTCATTACATGTTAGTAAGTTAGGTTTTGCATTTATTCTTATAATAAAGTTTAGGATCTTTTCGCTACATACTTTTGTCGATATTATTACAAATATCCAATGTTTCCAATAAAATCGTTATTTATTTTCATAAGTTTAGTCCTAAGATTACACAATCCCACCATATATTATTACCAACTGCTTTGTGGCATTCCTTGGCAAAGTCTATGTGAAGCAATGGATTTATGCTGTAATTATGACTCTTTTTTTTTATTAAATAAGTTATGCTTCAGTAGTGGTCCCATATATATATATATGCATATATAATTTTAAAAAATATTCTTTCCCTAAAAAGCAGAAAAATAAATGATGAAGTTTTAGTGTAACTATTTACATGAAATTCGAGCTGGTGTTTATTATTTAGTCCACTTAAAAGGGTCAAAAAACTAAGACAATAAAAAGTTAAAGCTGACTTCAAAGAATGAAAAACAAAGGCGTGTGTATCAGCAACGACGCACGACTGGAGGTTACTCTTTACAAACAATTATTTGTTTATATAAAGTACAGCCGAGAATACTCTGTGCTGGGGGCTGCGTAAGATAAGTTGCGCACGACATTACGTAGTTATGGAAACATAAATACATAACGTAACGCATGACGTAACGTTTGATTTTACTCCCCATAAATTTTCATACCCTGGGCTTGTATATGAAAATGGATACTTAAGGAGTAAACTCCAAAAATATTTTAACAATAGGGAAATCGGGGCTTTAATAATATGTCTTAGCACCGACTTGATCCACTCTCATATTAGGAATAGTTTACATGCCATTACTTTGACTTCCGTTATTTATGCATTTATTTAATCGTTTGAACTTTTGTGCACACTAATGTAAGGCATTTTCTCTTAGTCAACCATTAGGCTAAGCTTTTATTTTATTTAAGTTATAAATAATAAATAAGATATTTAGAATTATTGAATGACAAAAAGTATTGATGGAAGTTTTGATATGTTGCATCTGTAATAATAAATGTAGAATTGTTGGCATCTATTTTATTTATTAAGCTCGCAGCTATTGTTGTTGTATTACATATTAAGCTTATAACATTCATCAATTATTATTTTATAAGTTATTGTGACTAAAATATAGTATTTAAGAGTTAATATATGTGAATTATATTATTAATATAGCAATCTTGTTTCTTACATTACCTCATGTCCTTTTTAGTTCAAGTTTACTTGACTTAAAAGAGATTTGTAATTTCGATCGTATGTAATTTTTTTGTGTATGTTACGCGATATCTTCCTTCGCTAATTGTGAACTGATTTTAATGATTCTTTTTTTTATATACATCAAGATTTTTAATCCGTTTAGACGACATTATAGTTGGCTACCTTAAACATATGATATAACTTAGTCCACTCAAAAGGGTCAAAAAATTTAACTTTTCGTAAAAAAGATTAATAAGAAGAAAAAAACATTATTATTTAGGAAATCAAGAAAATTTCAAGGTTTTAAAAATGATACGTTAAAAGTTAAAGTTACAGCCTATATAAGTCCCACAGCTGGGGACAGGCCTCCTCTCACTTCTGAGAGGGTTTTAGGGCAAGGAAGTGTCCGACGCATTACCCCATTGCATGTTGGCGGACTTCAGATTTCTTCGAAATATATATTTCTATTTTATTTCTCAAACATGCAGGTTTCCTCACGATGTTTTCCTTCACCGCTAAGCACATGGTAAATAAATTGGTGCCGGCGGGGATCGAACCCGCGTTGCTCGCGTACTGTGAAATTTACGGCGAGAGCTAAGCCCCTAATCTACCACGATTTTTAAACTAAAAGTGATATGTAAGTACAAATAATTAAAAATATCCTGCAAAACCTAATTACACTTTCGGAATAAATACTATAATCAATAATGATCAAATATCAAACACATTTGTCTTCGTATCCAATATGTGTAATGGTGTAACCTTGTATAATAAAACTGTTTAATCACTATAAAGCATCTGATGGCCTTCAAGTGAACATACACTGAAGGCCATCAGATGCTAATAATATCCTATTTTATTGCATTCCTATAGTGTAACAAAATAAATGACCACTTGCAAACATGTTCGACATTTTTATAATTCGTTAAAAAAATTAGGACCAAATAGCACAATAGTCATGGATAATTCTGCCACTTGCAATTTTATTGACTTTAGAAGAGGAGATAATATTTCTATCACAGATCCAGACCCCTTTCTAAACGTTTTTCCACGTGGTAGAGCCATGCTGCAGCTATAATTCGCGTATAGTTGTAGCACGAATGGGTCGGCTCGACCGGGGAAGGACCACGCTCTCACAGAATACTAGCGTAAAATAGCAGCTTAATGCTGCTGTGTTTCGTATGGTGAGTGTAGAGAACCGGAGACCCTTTTTACTGGAAAAGAGGTATTCCATCTTAGTCGACGACTCAATGGCTCATGCCGCAAAGGAGAAAGTCGATCCTTTGCGTCCAACTCGATGACAGGGGGAACACACCATCGTCCACTCCATAGCGTGAGTGCACCATACAGGAAGTTGAGTTTCTACAAAACCCAGGCTCCTCTCCCTGAACGTCAGCATGTCAAGGAGGCCTGATGGAGTCCCTATCCTAGTCCTATTGTACTAAAGACATGTGCTCCTACTCCTCTTCCTAGTTCCAAGAACCTTGTGCATTCCTTTAAATCCTTATGACTTACGTAACTGTTACGGAGCTTAGCGCGCGTTTAGATCACAAATATTTTATCGGCGAAACCGACAACCCGGAACGTCGCTTGTACCAAACTTTACATACTTTTCACGTTTTTGTTTTTTTTTGTGATATTTTACTTTATCTCCATTAGTTCGATTTTTATTACATCCATCAATTTTATTACAGTTACAGCCTATAAAAGTTCAAAGCTGAACATAGGCCTCTCTCATAGATGACCTAATAAGGAGGATTTTGACATAGTTGCAACGCTTGGCAAGCGGGTTGGCAACAGCAGTTGTTTTATTATTTTGAGTTGTTACCAGGGAAATGCTGCTGCCCATCTTCTGTTTCAATTACGCTGTCGCCTGCTGAAACATCCACGGGATGATATAGGGTAATAGATATTCTACTACCTAACTTTTTTATTATTTAATATAAATGTTTTTACTAAATGTGCTTTTTACAATTTGGTTAATATTAAGGCAATTTTTAAAATCTGACAAAATTATCGTCTGCTTCTATATCATTCTTTGAACAGTTGGCGATATATTTATCCGACGGCCGCCTTCTACGCGTAACTACATGCCACAGCACAACTACTAACAGATGCTATTTACAATACAGGCAATAAAAGAGAACTGGAATAAAATTACTCACCGACTGTTGTATAGCGTACGTAGGTCTCCTGGTTGTCCATCATGGCGTCGACTGCTTGCTTCTCGCAGTATAACGCGGTGATGATCGCAATGCTTGGTTGTCGAGACGAACACAGTGTGGGCATTTGCTTAACCACCTATGTATTGTAAATAATATATGTAATATTACCTACCACTTTGTAGACTTAAATTACATAAGTACACACTTTATTTAAAAAATATGGAAAAATTAAGATAATATGAATATTTATAAATAGATTTTATGAAATTAATTAATTGAGACACTTATTTTAAACATAGTGGAGTGGTGGAGAATTGTATTAGTTACATTTCTATTTTAAAATGAACAATATTAAAACAACTCCTAATAAGTAGATGGGCTTAAGTCCAAAATCTGTAGTGATTGTGAGAAACTTAAATACTACCACAAGATGAAATTTGGCAACGTTTCAATTAATTACAGTTTTTACACGTGGTAGAGCTATGTTGCAGCTAAGGCATCGGAACCGGTTTTTCCCGGTTCCAAAAGAACCGGGAATTCCCGGTTTCAGGGGTCACGAAAAGAACCGGTTCCAAAAATTTAAAACCCGGTTCTTTCGGTTCCTTTACAAAGTTTCTTAAAAAGTATATCACTACAATGTAGTGTTATAAAAAACGTGATTATTAATCATTTCTGCTATTTATGGCAAACAGTAGGAATTGTAATAATTTGGTAAAAATTTTCAAGGCTTCCCCCACTAAAAGTGACGAAATTCTTCAAAAGCATATCATAGCTGATTTTGGACAAGAATATTGTTTGGTTTTAGATGTAAATACACGCTGGAGCAGCATAGTCGCGAAGTTAAGCCGATTTCTGAAGTTAAAAACGATCTCAAAAGCATTAATTGCTTTTAAATCTGATATTGTAGGTATTTACTGAGGAAGACTGGACAAACATAGAAGAGTTAAATAAGATATTGGATGTTATTAAAACTATCGTAGAAGCTCTATTCCGTCGCGATACAACATTGATTACAGCCGATGTTTCTTTAAAATTTGCTATAAGAAAATTCGTTGAAATTAACTAGATTAGTATAAGTATCTTAGTAATAAAATGGTCACTGCATTGCGAAAACAATATAAAAAACATGCAAGCATCAATATTGCGATACTTAACCAACCCTGACAGTCATTTTGCCAGTATGGACGATGCAACTATCTTCTCCGGTCTACAAATGATGAAATGTTACACGGAATTGAAAATTTTTACGTGGTATAGCCATGCTGCTGCTATATTACTGATATAGTATAGCACGAATGGGTTGGCTCGAAAGGGGTAGGACCACGCTCTCACAGAATACGCTGCTGCGTATGGTGAGTGTAGAAAACCGGATCCCCTTGTTACAGGAAACGAGGCATTCAATCTTAGTCCTCACGTGTGACAACGCATCAGCATTTTGATTCGTCATCGAGGATAGATGTAGATGTCTATGGGCCACAGCAACCACTTACCATCAGGTGAACTGTGTGTTCGCTTGTCATCCTCATTTTATAAACAAAATCGCACGAAAGCTAGACAAAATTATCCCTTGAATAAACAGCAATTGGAAGTCAATATCTGCAGGAAGTTGAATTACATGAATCCCCCTAACAAATGAAGAGGAATTTAATAGAGAGCTGTCTAAGGCCGTTAATACTGCCACTGAATTGACAGAACAAGAAAATGACTTAAATTGATTGAAATTATAATTGAGTTGAAATGGCTCTATTTAAAAATGATGGGCAAAGACAACGAGTACTACTTATCGATAGGTTATTAACATTTAAAAACTATTTCGCCCACCAGTGTAGAGCCAGAGCGAATATTGTCTTCGTCTGCAATAGGCTGCGCTCGTCTTTGAGTGATAAAAATTTGCAGGCATTAATTTTTCTAGGTTTTTTTTATTTAAGTAAAATTAAGTTTTAATTAAACATTACTTATGTTTAATTAAAACTATTTTTTTCATAAGTGAGCTGATTTATGTTTTGTTATAATAATTCTATGATAGAATATTGTAATGTTATAATAGAATAGAATCTTTCAAACTATTTTTATGTAAGTAATGTCGTGCAATTGTCAAATGAATGTTCCTACTTAGTGAGATGTTTGATTATATTTAATTAGAAAGAAACTATTTTCTTTATGAATATTATTATCGTTATTCACATTGAATGAAATAGTCTCCAACCTAATAGAAAGAAAAGAACCGAAAGAACCGGGTACCCGGTTCCGGCAAAATTTTAGAACCGAAAGAACCGGTTCCTGGAAAGGGACCGGTTCTCGATGCCCTAGTTGCAGCTACTTCATGATTGTAGTACGAATGGGTCGGTACGACCGTCGAACGACTACGCTCTCACAGAATACCAGCGCAAAATAGCAGCTCAATGCTGCTGTGTCGTATGGTGGGTGTAGAGAACCGGAGAACCTTTTTATTGGATACTGGGGTGACAACGCATCTGCATTTTGATTCTTAATCGAGTATAGATGTAGATGTCTTTGGGTCGCAGCATCCACTTATAGTTAGGTGGGTTGTGTGCACCTTTGTCACCCGTAGTCTATAAAAAATGCCATGCAGGCGGCGTTTCGTCCATAAAAACGTATTCCTCTGTTTTCTGTTTCTGTTTATGACTGACATTAGAGTAAATGTTTTTTATGATACAATTTATATCTACCACTTCCATGTTCCTGTTTTGTTGTTTTTCCAGAAACTAATATTTTAATAACTAGGACCTTTCAAATTAAATTTTAATAAATGCCCAGTTATAGGTAATGCGGTAATTAGACATTATTTATTACCATACGAACATGTATTATTATCGTCTTACAGTACAACACACATTCCCGACAGTAATGTTCACCGAACCAATCGAATCAGACATTCCGAAGACTAGCCCGAACAGTCAGACAAACAAAAATTTTCAAAATAACATCTCGCAGCTCAATCTCTAAGACAAGAAATTATAAATAACCTACTTACCTTTTCTGCCTAGGAAATATAAGTAAGTTATGTAGGAAAGGTGGTACCTATCCGGACAGACAACTGGGTCAAATAGCAGTGCTTGTACAAAGCTGTGTTCTGAAGGATACAACGAGTCAGTATATCAGAGAGTAATTATATACTGTGAGACATTCCATCTTAGTCCTCAGAAATGATAACGCATCTCTAGCTTTTCCGTTTGAAGCTGGCTGCAACTGCAAGTTTCAATGAACTGCGGTAGCCACTCAACATCAGGTGAACTGAAAGTCTATTTGAAAACTCAGTTTTATTTTAAAAAAACTCAAAATTTAAGTCAAAACACAAACGGTGCGTGTGTCGGCGTACAATACTCACCGTTTGAGTTTGACTCGTCAGATAATTTATTGTCCTTCTTCTTAGGTCAGGTTTCGCTAATTAATTTGAAACACTGATACTTTTATTATTATAAAAGAACGAAGACTTTGCAATCTATTAGACCAGCATCATGTAATATTCTACGTTTCACTGCTAGGTCAGCAGTCGGCTCTATAGAAATTTTCTTTGGAAATTTCAACAATTATCTTGAGTTTTTCTCCTTTAATTTTTAAGGGACGAATTTTCAACCCAATCTATGCCTATTGCTATGAAATCCAGTAAGAGCTAAAATGTGCGCAGTTCACACGTGGTAGGTAGAAGTTAAATCTTCAGAAAAGGAGACCGAGATAATAGGAAACATTTGATAGTGAATTCTATCTCATTCTCTCGTCGCAGGCTCAATCCTATAGATGCATATGTTTGTCTCTTTTTATTGTCGCTCTTTCGTTTCATCGCGTTTCAAATCATAACGATTCTAAAGTGAGCACAACTTATTATAACTTAAAATTTTGCTTATCTGTGTAAACGTTTGATATTTAGTGGACTGAATCACTGTTATGTAAACACAACAAACTACGCAACAAGTTTATCACTTTTAAAAAAAAACTCCAAATCCAAATACTATTTTGTCAGATGTCAGCCAGTCAATGATTCAAATTTTACAAGGGGTAAAATTAAAAATGTTGTACAACCGACTTCAATATAAATTATTAAGGATAACTCAATAACTACTGATCAGACCTTGATCAAATTTATATGGGTTCACCTGGGAAGTATACAAAAAAAGAATTTTCCAAATCGGTTCAGGCGACTTCCGAGTAATCGAGTTCCGGTGAACATACATAAAAAAGAACGAATTCAGAACCTTCTTTTCTTTTAAAGTCAGTTGAAAATATCAAAAGGTCATAATTATTAAACTACTGGATTATTTCTTTTTTATCACGAGAGACGCCCATGTCCACTGCTTAACATAGACTTCTAATAGTAAGGAGGATTTGCCTATAAATCGGCTTCTTAAGACACAACAAATTTCCCATTTAAAAATTATAAGACAGCTCAATACCTTTGGTCATGTTTATATAGTGTAAACTCAATATTTTAAATAGAAAACAAAATCGTTACATATTTGAAAATAAATAAGCCGTAATGAAATAATATCCATTGATAACTAAAGCTAAAGAGCGAAGTTTACCTGAGTATCAATACTATGCTGACGTATGTAAAGGCCTTCCGACATAGCCCTCGTTAAGCCCTTTTCTTCTAGCGCCTCTAAAGCATCTTTTACTTCTGCCTTTGACCATTTTCCGACCCTGAAATAATTCAATTAACTTTAATTTTAACATTATTATACACAGACTGATACATGTTGTGAATATTAATTAAATGTTTAATTTATTAATAATTAAATAGAGGAAAAGATGATGATGATACAAGTGTCAATTACACATGTATCATGGCATTGGGTCCAACATTTTGGTCCTAGGTAAAAATATTTATGAATCACTTGTTATATATCCAGCCATTTCGAAATAAACAATAACTAGTCATTTGTTATTGTCGTTATCATCAATCAAGTATAATTCCGCCTCCAGGTCTTTCAAAAGCGTCATTGTCAAGGCAAGGTCTGAGCACATCGGCAGAATTGGCGAGAAGCTAATTCGCCTTCCTTCGGGAAGCCGTGCATTCTGGTCTCTCGCCAAGGCTGTCCAAGGGAACTTCGGTCCATAACTGTGCGTTTTACTGGGAGTTTTCTTCCTCGTACAACTTCTCTGTGGAATTGTTTACCACCGGCGATTTTTCCGGACCGATACAACTTAAGGACCTTCAAGAAAAGAGCTTACACCTTTCTAAAAGGCCGACAACGCATCTGCAATTCCCCTGGTGTTGCGGTTGTTCATGGGCGGCGGTAATCACTTACCATCAGGTGAGCCGCATGCTCGTTAGCCCCCTCTTCTATAAAAAAAAAACCTTTAGTTTGCTGCTGAAGTGCTGAACATAGGCCTTTCCAAAATACGATGGAAGGCATGCATTTAAAAGTCACCTTTACAGAGCAAGGAAACAGCGCGTAAATACTATTATTGTTACAGTCTTCACTAGGTCGGGGCAGCGATTCAGTGCCTTGTGCTTCTACTCACAACGCGGAGCATGTAGGTTGGTGACCGCAAAGTTCATACTATCGCACTAGTATGTTGCTTGCATCACCAGTCTTGAGATTTGGTTACGACATTTTTGGATGAATTTTCCATGAATGACAAATGATTATCGACAGGCTCAATGATAACCCGAAATTTAAATGTTGAATGATGGTTGATGTACCTTTAACAAACAAATATTTTCTTAAAAAATATCAGGCTTATGAATACTAACGTCACAAAATCTTCCACTGTCAATGGATTGGGATACGCATTTTCGATCATGTCCAACACTCTTTGCTCCGATATAATTTGTGTTTGGTTCAAAACACTATCTTCAATAAAAGCTGAAAAATAAGTATATTGAAAAAGTCTGCAATTGTCACAAACAAATTTTAACTATTAACGAAAAATTATATTTTTAACATGCTCCTAATTATCATTAGTATCTGTTAAATTTTATAGTATAATATGTATATACGAGTATATAGTGGTAAATATGAAGTTACTAACTAGTGCGTGTTTTGCATACATAATAACTGGTGATATGTAACATAAATGGGAGGTTTTTACAACATATCTCGATATATGTACCTCAAAACTTAAAAACAAGAGTTTACAACCAGTGCGTGTTGCTAGTAATGACATATGGATTCGAAACGTGGTCCTTCACTGCTGGCCGTATAAGGTCATTCAGCGAGCTAAGGAGAGGGCAATGCTCGGAGTTTCTCCGCATAATAAGATTTAGAAATGAGGATAGCCGCAGTAGAACCAGAGTAACCGACACGGCGCAATGGATCAGAAGCTGAAGTGGCTCGAAGAACTGAAAATGTTAGCCTTGTGCCGGTATAAAAAATGTAGTGCGGCCCCCCACTAGATGGAGTGACGATCTGGTAAGAGATGCAGGAAATGCGAATGGCTCTGAACCTTTGTGGCATTCCTTGGGGGTGGCCAGTAGACTTGTGATGGGTTGTAATGACGATGATGATGATGTAACACTATGGTAATCAGCAAAGTATTGAGTTGGCTATTGATATTAACTACTTATAAAGATAAAGTAAATAACAATGTGTCCTTCGTTTTGAATCTAGCAGCTTTTATATGTGGTAGAGCCATGCTGCAGCTATATTACTAGTAGTTATAGCAAGAATAAAGGACCACGCTCTCACAGAATACCAGCGTAAAATAGCAACTTAAGGCTGCTGTGTTTCGTATGGTGAGTGTAGAGGACCGGATACCCTTACTGGAAACGATGCATTCCATCTTAGTCCTCACAGGTGACAACGCATCTGCATTTTGATTCGCAAACGTGGATAGTCTATGGACCACAACAACCACTTACCACCAGGCGGACTGTGTGCTCGTTTCTCACCCTTATACTATAAAAAAATAGCATTGATTTTTGCAGTATAATGAAGAGGACAACACACATTAATTTTCTTTACATTTCTAGATCAAAATTAGGTATTGCACAGCAATCACAACATTTCATATGGTTCTATAGAAATAATATTTCCTAGAAAGTGGTAAAATTAAAAATTTTGTATAACCAACTTCAATATAAATAAAATGAGAACATCATCAATGTAGTCAGAGTCAATTAAATAAGCATTATTAAGGATAACTCAAAAATTATTGGTCAGATTTTGATAAAATTTATATGGGACCACATGAGAAGCACCAGCTTTCAAATAGAACAAGAATCATCAAATCGGTTCACCTAGAAAAATGTTCTGAGGTAACAAACAATGACAAACGATCTAACAGGTGCACCTTATGGAAAGAGGCTACTGAAGCCCAGACACCTGTAACCAACTTAAAAAAAGTACACATATATGTACATTGTTGTTGTGTTGATTAAAGATGAATGCCATACATCCTATTGTTATATTGGCACTCTGAAACACTTTTAAGCTGGAATACAATAATGAACGGATTGCTGTATGGCAGCAAAAATAGTTAACAGAGTGTTACCTACCCAGGTGAACTCCAGTCCAGAAAAGGAGTCCTATCGACAAGTAAACATTTTTAAGAGAGTAAGAAAATTATGGGAAACCTACCTTTTAATATTATCATAAAACGTATTAGGACTATTTATTACTGTATATTAAACATGCTGTTATATTAGCAAAAAAAAACAGGATGTTACAATTGCTCTAAAAAATTTCATTACAATAAGATAGAATAAAATATGTAGAAAGAAAAACACAAAACAAAGAAAAATACAAAACTCCACGCCACAAAAAAAACTGATAGTGCTACAGTTAATCACTTAATTGATATTTATGTTATAAATACAATTACAAAAAAAAAACATATAATATGACAACACTGTGTGCATTCTGCAAATGTATATTAAACAAATTTAATAAAATTAAACAAGCGAGTTCGAAAACTAAAACCTCATGCACTATATATGCCAAATATACCATACATACAGCCATTAGAATACTTGTATATAGGATCCTTACTCGTAATAACGCCATTTGATTCTGTTTAATAAAATTAAACACAATATAAATTAAAAATAATAGGAATTATAATATATTATATTACCACACATACTTATTATAACAAAATTAACAAATTGTTATTGACACAATAATTTTAGAATATGTGCAAAGGCTGTAATTATTCCAACAGAATTCAATAATGCTGGATAAAAAATAAATAATTCTAAATAAACTTTTAATTTGGGCGAATTTACGTTAGATGGAATTAAGTATGTGTAATACGCGAAACTGAATAAATACAACCTTTACCGAAAAGCGATTACAAAATATATAAACAAATTAAGTTTACTTAAATTAACTTTAAATATAATTATCATGATACTTATAGCGTCGTTAAGTCTCTGACCAACAAAGCAAGATAGATGGGGCCATGCATACTTTCAAGTAATGCCAAAACCAAGATAAACCATGTTCAACTTATTATAAAAGCATGCACGCACTTGGTTTTTGGTGCATATGTGTGCCTTCCAGCAATAAACTTTTACGAGCTCTTAAAGCACGAAACATGTGTGCGTTAATGCGTGTTTAACTTAACACGGTTTCCATGGTTTCGGCTTCACTTGGAATGTAAGAGACGTGCTGTCTATCTTTAATTGTTGGTCTGAGCGTTAAGTACAATTGTTCAAAATAATTTTCATTTTATACTAACCCACAAATATCTGAAAAGTGCTAAAGTATAAAGTTTGTTTAAATTTATTTTTGGCTACTTGTTACTTTTCTGTTGCTGTAGTGTTTTTCAAAAAATACAGCATATAGCCAAGTTCATTAATATAATATACACATGAATGAGCAAGGGTTTATAATATAACGAGCAGTAAAACACTAAGAATAGTGTTTAAAAGGCTGCTAAGAATTATAATTAAATGTGCAGACATTTATTATTGAATGCTTAACATGATTAATGTATTTACATAATTCTATCACATTTATTACAGTTTATAGATTTCCATTGTTCACATATTATGAATCATTATTTGGGCTCATACTACTTATACTAATGAATGGGACTGTACAATTTAAATTTTTCCAAAAATATATTTATAAAATACAAACCTGGTGGTGGAGGTCCACTACCCTCTTGTCTTAGTTCTATCTCCAACACCTTAAGTTGGTGGTATTTTTGCTGCATTAATTTTATTATCTTTTTGATGAAACCCACATAATCTGAAACCAATCCATGTATAAATAAAGAAATACAGTTAAACCATTAAAAGAAATATGATTAACGTAAAATAATTAAGGTAATAAAGTAAAGTTAGACATATATCAATTTCGTAATTGCCGGTGGGGTTCAAGCCCAGGTTGCTCGTGTACTGTGAAATTTACAAGGGCTTAACCCCCGACCTACCAATGCTCTAACTAACGTGAAAATATCTAAATTTTCGCGCGCTTGTTTTTGTTTAATAATAATTTAACAATCAACTTTAACTTCAAATGTCATTAGGCCATTTACGTGCAAATGCTACGAATCGAATGAGCAATTGAAGGATAGATATTCAACCATTTCACACTTGTACTTGCTGGCTTCATATCGACCCTCGCGAATGCATAATCTGCACTCTGTTCTAACCTATAAAAAAATTGTACAAATGTGAATAAGTGTCAATACCACTTAGGTATCGATAATTTTTCCAGAACACATATTATATAGATACTAGCTGGTCAGGCAGACGTCGGGCGACCCTTTTCGACGACCCTTCATATAAAAAAAATCCTTAAATTAGTAATAAAAAAATATTGAGTGTCACTCATCAGGATAAAACTATCCTATCTCTCAAGTTGGACCAAACTGCACAGAGTGTGCATAATTTCATTGAAATCAGTTCAGTAGTTTAGGAGTTCATCGCGGACAAAGAACGTGACACGTAAATTTTATATATAAAGAATATATATGTGTTGACATATATACACTGCCCGCCAAAATTTTAATACCACACTTAAACAATATAATTATCTATAAATTGTAACGAAATCCAATAAGATAAATAAAAGAAATGTACACCTGCATATTCTATTGTTAATATCGAATATCTAAAGAAGTCATTCTTTTATTTACTTTCAAGTTATTGTTATTGGTTATTGGACACATTGGATATAAGTTATTGGACAATAAACATGTATTATTTTCAAACACCGACTAACGCTGCGTTAGGGCCAGGCGGTAGAGTCGTAATAATATTTCTATGATGAGCTAATAACTAATTGCTTTGCTTTTCTTTCCCATTGGTAAATAATTAGGATTATTTAGCTTCTAAAAACAGTGTTTCCGACTTATTATTACCTGAGTTTACATGGTTTTGTTCACAAACAATCTCAACTAGTATAAACTTGTGCTTTCTACAATAAGAAGTCTTAAAATGGGAAAAGCACGCGAAATTAGCAGTGAAGTGCGTTCTGTCATTGTTGTTTTACATAATGAAGGCAAATCCGAACGTGAGATTGCTTTACTTTTTTTTTATCGAAGACTTGTGTTCATGACACAATAACTCGATACAGGGAGACAGGCACTTTTCAAGATCGTCCACGCCCGGGAAGGCCGAGAGCTACCACGTCAAGTGAAGATCATTTCAGTGTTGTTACCAGCAAGCGAAATAGATGCTTAACAGCACCGGAAATCCACGTTGAAGTAAAGAAAATCCGAGTTAAACCTTTATCATTGACTACAGTAAAACGGCGACTGAGAGATGCGAAATTGTATGGTCGTGTCGCCGTTCGAAAACCTCTGCTAAGGCCACAAAACAAGAAAAAACGGATGCAATGGGCCCTTGCCCGTGGAGATTGGACTGAAGACGATTTTAAAAAAGTTCTTTGGACCGATGAATCCAAGTCTGAGCTATTCAGTTCAAAACGTAGAATTTACGTTCGACCCAGTGACCAAGAAAATATGATGCCAGACTGTGTAGTCCTAACAATCAAGCATGGTGGTGGCTCGATTATGGTCTGGGGTTGCTTTTCTAGCCAAGGAACTGGCGATTTCATCAAAATTGACGGAATTATGAAAAAGGAAGAATACAAAAAAATTTAGAACAAAATTCCGTTCCTTCGGGGTTGCGATTAATTGGAGATGGATTCATTTTCCAACAGGACAATGATCAGCATAGCTCAAAATTATGCAGAGGATATTTGGAAGTGACAAGAGGTGTTAAAACATGGTTTGGCCTCCTCAGAGCCCGGATTTCAATCCCATTGAACTTTTGTGGGAAGATCTTGATAGGGACGTCCGTAATTGTGGTGAATCCTCGCGAGTAGAAATGTGGAATGCTTTGTGCGAGTTGGAGCAATATATCACAAGACACTATCAACCAATTGATTGCCCGTATGCCGAGACTTGTGAAAAAAGTCATAGAATGCAAAGGAGAATTTTTTGATGAAAAATCAGTTTAGCTAACTATACCCCTTTTTAGCATGGACTGTTAATATTTCTTGACTTGACTGTCAAAAAGTGTTTTATTGGATGATTTAACAGTTTAATTAAACATGTAATATTTTATTGGAGTTTTATTTAATTTTCCTACTTTAATTAAGGTGGTCTTAAACTTTTGGCCTGCAGTGTAGATAGATACTTTCATTTCGATTTCATGTATTTAAATACTCGATACATTTCATTACGAAACTTAGTAAGTATCGGTACTTTTTGAAGTACTCGATATCTTCAAGTATGATTATGATTTCAATAAATAAATAAAAAATTCAATAACTATTTATCAATAAAAAAAAATGGTTATGATTATGTTAGTAGCTAGTTTTTAGTGAAAAGTTTCGGGGATATCTCAGTCATTAAGCCAAACGGTGCAATGTGTGGGCATCTTTTACAATTTCATATATTTTAGTAACTTTTTGCTATTATAATTACGGTAGGTAAGTATCTAAGATCGAGCAAGATCAACACGAAGGAGAAAAATATAAAATAGAAATACTTTGTGAATCCCGTTTCCACTCTAAAATGTGACATCTTCCAGGTGTGGGAAAGTAATATTTCCAAAGCTCAGAAAATAAAAGGTCGGAAAATATCTGATTGTGCTATGAACATCAGTACTGTCAGAATGTTTGTTCTCAAAGGCTGACTCAATGATGTCTGAAGCTCGAAATCGTCCCACTGGTATCAAGTAGGTATCGATAGACAATTTCATAAAATGATGGAAAGTTAAAAAGCTACGCAAAACGGTGGCGCCGCGGTGGTGGCAATAAATGTTTAACTTTACTTATTATTTATTTTTGTAATTTAATTTAAGTAAAAATTATATCTACCTATATATCTCATCTATATCGAAAGAAAACAATTGAATTCTTTCAGAGGTCATGATGAAACCATAAATTCTTAAATAAAAGAAAATATTCCAGCTACTTTGTAGTGTTAATTCAAAACAACATTCATTTCATTGCCGATATAGCTAAATTCAAAATATGTTTTAAGGTATAAGACCGTGTTTTGTGGTGTTCTTTGTTGAGGCTCTGTTCAGCAATGACCTTATGAAGGGTTGTAATAATGGTGCTGATGATGATTACGTTATTTAAGAATTTAGTACTGTTTAAAATATTAAAAGTATTGTTTAAAATTTAAAATATTTGTAAAATAGAGTGGAACTACCAAAGCTGAACATGAGGCACTCTTGTTTGTAGTGAGGATTTGCCTTAATGGTTATACTTGGCAAGCGAATTGACAATTGCAGTACCAGACATCACATATCATTAAAAAAAAAAGTAAAGAAATGGTCGCAGAATGCTAAAGTAACTAGTACTTAATAAAATTACTCAGATGCCTGTCTACATAGTTTACAATATAATGACAGGCTTCTTTGTCAGTTTAAATGGGCTTATGTTGTTCTATTATATATCTTTTTCATACATAGGAGAGTTGGTTTGTCATAAGACAAAGAAATTTAAGAAACTAGGGAGTTACCTTTTGGAAAATCATGAGGACTAACAAGTTCACGGAAAAAGCTTTGGGCCTCATGAGGACACTCGTCACAAGGTACTTCAGGCTTGAACCAAAATCTTAATGCTCTTGCCTCCCGAGTATGAGTGCCAGTTGCAGCAGACACAAGATATACACAAAACTCTAACTGAGCATGACATGGCTCTGTGACTCCATTTTCTGTAAAAGAAGAAAGTGTTTTATATGCTATGCTGTGTATTTAACAATCAATAATTAATGCATAATATAAAATTTCTTACTGTACTAATAAATAATATTAATAAAAATAGGTTTATCTACCATTTACATATACACACAAGATTTTTTCATAAAAAGTTCATTATTGTACTATAATAGCTATCATTATAATAGTATAATAATGAACTCCAGACCGAATTTCGATCATGGCAGTTTGTCTCATCAGAGACTAGCCATCTGTCAAGACAGGATTATTGTGCCAGAGTGATTTTTTTGGGCCGACCCAGGATCCCAATTATGGACCTCACTGTCAGCAGCAGTGTTTAAGATCACTAGCCCATTGAGGCCAGTTAAACACTGTATATATAAAAAGAACTCTAAGAAAACAAATTCTATATTACATATTTTTTGAAATTTTTATTGCAACTTAGTTCACTATCGACATAGATGCCATAAACATTTTTGGAAATTTTCTTGTATTGTCTGTCTATCTGACTGAATGTGCATCATGAATGGGACTTTCTCTATAGTATTATATAAGATAAGTTGAAAGGTTAGAATAAATATAATATATCATCATGCTACCTGTAATAGGAACAGGTCAACAGTATAAATGCTTTCAGAGTTTATCTGGATAGTATTATCAGGTTTCCCCTGAGAAAGCTATTTATTTTTAATGCCAAGCAAAGCTTGGTCCGCTCAATTACTATGTTATTACAAATATGGCTACATTATTATGTACAAATTTATAAAATATTAACAGTATGGTGATGGTGTAAGAATATTTATTATCCAGTAGGTGTAGTAACAGGTAGATTTTGGTGGATTGGGGGAATTTTACAATATTCATCACTTTTTTACTTTGGTGGACAGGTAGGTAACCACATATTTTTATTATATTGTTATTACAAGAAGCTACTGCTGCCTATATACTGTATCAGTTTTCCTCTGTCATGACACTGAGTGAATAAATTAAATATACTTTACTGTACACCAAAAAATACATATGAGAGAAAAAAAACATATATTATTTAAAGCTACAATTGGTGGCCTTATCGCTTAGGAGTGATCTCTACCAGGCAACCATTGCAGAGGATAAAATGACCTATGAGAAAAGGTACGGGTGTACGTAGGATGTTGGAAAATACACACGACATACATAAAATTATATATAAGTGGATGTTATGGAGTAGTGGATAATCTCAAGTAATCACTATATATATTTATTTTTTTTTATAGGAGAGGGAGCAAACGAGCATGCGGCTCACCTGATGGTAAGTGACTACCGCCGCCCATGAACAACTGCAACACCAGGGGAATCGCAGATGCGTTGCCGGCCTTTTAAAAAGGAGTACGCTCTTTTCTTGAAGGTCCCTAAGTCGTATCGGTCCGGAAAAATCGCTGATGGTAATCGATTCCACAAGGAGGTCGTGCGAGGAAGAAAACATCTTCTAAATCGCACAGTGGTGGACCGCCAATCATCCAGATGGTGTGGATGGTATCGGGAGTTCTGCCGCGATGTGCGTTCGTGAAATTTGGCGGCTGGGATTAATCCGAACAATTCCTCAGAGCACTCCCCATGGTAGATGCGAAAGAAAATGCAAAGGGATGCAACATCTCTTCGCAGTGCCAATGAATCGAGCCGATCGGAAAGGGCTCGGTCGTCGACAATTCGAGCCGCTCTGCGTTGGATGCGGTCAAGTGGAAGGAGCTGGCACTGGGGAGCCCCTGCCCAGAGATGGGAACAGTATTCCATGTGAGGCCGAACTTGCGCCTTGTAAAGTAGCAGGCGGTGTGCCGGCATGAAATACTGTCCCGCTCTGCTGAGCACGCCAAGCTTTTTAGAGGCCAATTTGGCCTTATCTTCCAAGTGACCACGAAACTGCACGTCACTCGATATGTCGACTCCGAGGATACCGATACTGGCTGAGGCAAGAAGGGGAGTGCCTTGAAACTGAGGAGATACGACAAAGGGGTTCTTTTTAGCGGTAAACGCGCAAACTTGTGTCTTCTGAGGATTAAATTGGACTAGATTTAGTCGCCCCCAATCCGAGACTTTGTTCAGCAAAGACTCGACTTCAGACACAAGTTTGTTCCGGTACTCGTTTTCCCGAGAAATATTGGCACGGCCGGTGTATAGAGCATCACCAGTGCTGTCACCCACATAGCAATGAATGTTACCAGTTAGCAAAATATCATTGATATGCAGAAGAAACAGCGTTGGTGATAGCACACAGCCTTGTGGAACACCAGCGTTAATAGGCTTGTAGTCAGAGCATGCACCGTCTACAACGACCTAGATGCTCCGATCTGCAAGGAAGCTGGTGATCCAATTGCACAATTTCTCGGGAAGCCCATAGGAAGGGAGCTTCGAAAGAAGCGCTTTGTGTCAAACCCGATCGAAGGCCTTCGCAATGTCCAGACTAACGGCCAACGCCTCCCCCTTGGACTCTACTGCCTCCGCCCATCTATGGGTCAGGTAGACCAGAAGATCACCAGCTGATCGACCCCGACGAAAACCGTATTGGCGGTCACTAATCAGCTGGTGATCCTCAAGGTACCGGATGAACTGGCAGTTAATAATGGATTCCATTATTTTGGAGAACAAGGAGGTGATCGCGATAGGCCTATAGTTGGATGGCTCTGAGCGGTCGCCTTTTTTAGGGATCGGGTGGACAAAAGCTGTCTTCCATGAATTCGGGACTACGCCTTGGGAGTAGGAGTACCGGAAAAGATGCGTTAGGACCGGTGCCAACTCCGGAGCACACGTCCTCAGCACAATTGGGGGGATTCCGTCAGGCCCACTCGACTTCTGGATGTCCAGGGAGAGCAGTGCTTTGCGAACCGAGCGCTGTGAGAACAGCACATCCGGCATGGAGCACTCACACCGCGGGATGGTCGGCGGTGTTTTCCCCCCGTCATCAAGAGTCGAGTTGGACGCAAAAAGGGAGCCTAAAAGGTCGGCTTTGTGTTTTGCGTCATGGGCCAGTGAGTCATCCTCCCTGTGTAGAGATGGTAGTGATGGCTTACAGAAATTCCCTTGGACAGCCTTGGCGAGAGACCAGAATGCACGGGTTCCCGAAGGAAGGCGAACTAGTTTCTCGCCAATTCTGCCTATGTGCTCTGACTTTGCCTTGGCAATAACTCTTTTGAAGGACCTGGAGGCGAAGTTATACATAGCAGTATTAAAATTATAACTTAAATAAAACTTATTAATTACTAATAATTTTGACAATATCAAGTAGCATTAGCTAGTTTCCTATGAAATATAAAGATATGGTATTGACTGTCATTAAGAACAGTTTTTAATTAGATATTAAAATGTGTTTGTAACAGAAAATCAAATGTGATGAATATGCTATAAATTCATTTACACTTTACATCGCTTTTAGAACATCACTAATATATTAGTGATAGTTTTGTTGTTACTTGATGAAGACCTGACAGCCAAAAGGTGTAGCATGTTTTGTCTCATGCTATCTAAATACCTTATTTAAAATGAAATAGACCATGATCCTTTGTTTAATTTTTATAAAACGAGAGCTAATTAACACATTTTTTACGAAGAAATAGGAAAAGTTTGCCTCACCATAAACTTTTTCCTTGTTTATAATGATTCCAGTGTGATCACCACCAGCAACGTGTATTTTATCACTCGGCTCGGTATCAACAACCTTTCTTTCTACAACTATAGTAGTGGATGTTGGTGTTTTACACTTGGGCGTCATAATAACTTTTTCTTCGGAGTTTTCCATAGCTTATTATTAAGATTGTTCTAAAAACGATTGAGTGCACTATTTTCCGCTGTGCAATAATAGCCTTAGAACGTACACAATCACACTACTATCAATCACTTAAATTAAGTTCCTGTTCGAACTGAGGCAATGAATCACAGTATATTTTTCCTTTAGCTAAATTTCAAGCTATCAGACCAATCATTTTTTTATTGATATATTGTAAATGTAAAATATATTTAAATAGGTAATTATGATACTATTCGAGTTTGCGAAACAAAGGGAAATGTTTTAATCTAAAAGTACATTATATATATTGCTTAGAAACTATTCTAACTCTTCAAACAAGGTTAACGATTAACGAAGGTAAACAAGATCCTCGGACTAGGCATGCACCGATATATCAAAACGTAACTAATAACGTTATGTTATCAAATATAATATCATATCGATAAACCTAAGAACATAACCGTTATCACATATCCAACCAAAACCCAAAATAAACTAACCAACGTACGAAACGTAAAACGCAAACTGTAACGATTTGCCAAAAACCGAAAACGGCCCAAAACCAAAACTAACCGATGTCCTTTGATATTCGTTGTTTCTCGTTCTAGCGACAGTATCATAAATACGTATGAAAGAGATGAAGCGAATATTGTTTGCATTTTGTTCATTAGTTTTAAAACTTTTCTGCTAGTCCTAAGCCTAGTTAAGCATATGAAGGTAAATCACCAACTTAAATAATCATTAATAATTAAAATAAGTACCTAAAGTAATTTTCTATATATGTATATATAAATATAAATTATGATTACTACTTATGAATACAATTTAATTATAGACTTTGAAATCAAACTCTGATCCTACGTCTCACTTTAAATAAAAAAATGGGTATAAACATTATATAAATAAATAAGGATGGAAATAATGTAATTTTAGGCGTTTATAATACTATTTTACTGCATAACAATCATAAATTATATATTAACATACATGTCTAAATATTACATCTAAGATTATATTAGAGCTTCTGACTTCTAAATCGTAATCGAAGTAATTCGTAAAATAAATGTTGCACTGGTTCTACAGTTTTCGGTTATGTTTCGGTTGTCGTTTGCGCATTCAGTAGCAAACCATTACTACTGATATCGATATTAGAAAACGGTTTTCAATAACGATATGAAAACTAAATATCGGTTATGTAACCGTTGCAGCCAAAAACTGAAAATGCCCATGCTTAGTTCTGTGACAATCAGCGTTGCCAGCACAAACTTGTCAAACTCCCCAAAAATCCATATCAAACTCGCCAATTTAAGGACAAAACTGCAACAGATTCCCTACAAATTCCCCAAAATTTTTTTTAAAGAAATGAAACAATTTTATTTTAATTTATTTTAACTAATTTTATAAGATTTAATTTTTAACTTACATATTTTTCTTTTTTACTAATTTTTTTTCATACTTTCCTTATTTTTGTAACAAGCATTTTACTCCATGGAGTATTTTTTATTCCTTCCTGTAGTGTATGCAAATACACTAACTTGTCTCGAGCGCATACGTCACGAGGTGCGGGTAACGAAAGGGCAGTCTCTGTCTGACAGCCGACCCGGTAACACGTGTGGTGGTGTGTAGGTGAGCCAAGATAAGTTAATAAACAGCGAACAATACATGTGGCGACGAAGAAAACAGTAAGTACTTATTTGAAATAAAAAGGAAAATAGAAATAAGTCTCTGGAAAGATTCATTATCATTAACTTATTAATATTTTTAATAATTATGACCAGAAGTTTTGTACACAATACCTAATTCTATGATGGTTTACGATGTAATTTTGTGACATTACTGTATTATTTACATTGTACTTTAGTTTTACATGATAATTACATTAAATGTATTACATTGAACCTCGTTGATGTATTCATATGGGGAGTAAAAGGTTAATAAAAGTACTTCTAATTTTAATTTGGACCTTATATAGTACTTTTTAACAGTGGTAGAGCCACGCGGCAGCTTTTGCTGTCGCACGGATGGGCCGGCTCGAACCGGGGTGGTACCACGACCTCACAGAAAACCAGCGTGAAGTAGAGGTTTACCTCTGCCTTTCGCTTGGTGAGTGCAGGTGGCCGGAGGCCCTTTTTACTGGAAATGAGGCATTCCATCTTAGTATTCACGGGTGACAACGCATCTACGTTTTGATTTGTAATAGAGGATAGATGTAGATGTCTATGGGCCGCAGCAACCACTTACCATCAGGTGGACTGTGTGCTCGTTTGTCACCCTTATCGTATAAAAAAAAGTATTCTGGTACTCTAGTGAAGTAAGATGAGTTTAGAGGTTATGCTAATATTCAGACGACCCTATAAGATTACCTAAGGAATCATATATAATTTTAACAAACGATATTGAACGCATTTTAAACTATGTATGTGATTAGAGATTAACTACCCGCATGGATGTTTCAAATGTAAAGGCATATTCGCACTACAAATACATATACACACACGTATTGTGCGGTGCCGGGTTCGATTCTCCGTCGGATCGATTTTGACAAATGTTTAACAAATTAAATTTATGATGTTTAACAAATGCTTTCATTGATCCAATCCATGATAGGCGTGTTATAAACTTCAACTACATTTATGTAGCTGGTCATTAAATTGACATTGATCATGATAGTTAGCAGCGTAGCTGGTCATTAAATATGACTCTGATTACAATATTTAGCAGCATAGCTGGTCATTAAATTGACACTGATCACAATATATTAGCAGCATAGCTGCTCATTAAATTGATACTGATTGTTACGGCCTACAGCTGCCTATCTAATAGTAGGATCTTCCCGGCCCATAAAGGAAGAACCTACAAGCAGATGCAGGTCGGGCCTCAGCAAGGGGCCGCGTGGAAAGTCTCTAATAACGATAAACAATAAGGGGGAGCGTTCTATCCTGCTGCCATTCAACAGGGAGAATATTAAACCCGAGCTTACCTACCTATATCCAAGGCGACTGGTCCCTCAGGGTTCGGTCAGGTCGCATGAGGTTGTATGATGCATGGGAAGTAAGGGTCAGTGATGTGTATCTGTGTGTGACTGAGTGTGGTAGACCTTATGAGACCGTTGCCGTCGGCAGCAGCTCGGACTTCAGCACCGCTCCAAATTGTGGTAATCTTCCGCGGAGTCGTCCACAGTCACTTTCTTCGTTCGTCACGAGGACAGTTCTATTAGCTTCATTGTACATTTAATTAACTAAAACTCGCCTAATTCCACATTCATCGTAGAATCGAACACGTGATACCCTACACAGTAACGGACAGCAGTTCAAAGTTCAACATTCAATGTCCCAGATTCACTTATCACAAATTATAAAGAGGGAATTAAAGCGATGTATTAATGAGTCATACTACTCAGTTAAACACAACTAAGTTCCTTCATTCGACACCAAAAACCACGTCGCGAAAAGATTCAAAATACGCCTCGTTGACGCGTAAACTAACAAGCCAACACACACAAAAAAGGGCACTTAACGCGACGATACGATTATAATGATTTCCTGATGATCAACCGGGAGAAGCTCTCGAACAAGGACTGCGCGGTTCGAACCCTAGACCGTATATCTACTCGACGCGCGCGCGCACAATTCCACATCCCCGAACAAAAAAATGACAGCGTGCTGTCCCAAGCACAGCTGGCAAACGACTCCTCTTTGCGCTCGCGCGCTCTCGCCACACCCAAGCTAACCCGAACGTCAAACCGGTATGGCACCGAGCCGCGCACCCTTTGACGTCGATTCCGAAACCAGCGTTCGGGCGTGAACAAACCCCCGTCCCGGACATAAGGATTTAGGTTCGCGAGAAAATCGGGCAGCGGGACAGTTGCAAGTTGCAAGATCGAATCCACAACCAAACTAGGCCACCTTAGGCACCCCGATCTTGCAATCCTAACCCACGCCTCAAAATTACAGCCCCAACGGGGGCACGCCGGAGGGTTGAACTGGATGCCCTTCCTGGACATCGCAGCACATAAATAAGTCCTACTCCTAGACAGAAGTCCGACGACCTTCAAACGCCTATCTGTGCCCCTATGATTAGTTCCGCAATCCAACCGGATCAGGTCTGCAAACAGCGACGCGACTCGAACCGGCCCAGAGTGGCCTCTTAAGCTTCAGTGCAGAGAGCACCCCCAAATTCCCCATGAACGTCGCCATGAGTAGATATCGCTCGATGCAACTAATATAAAAGTTTTTGCCAAAAGTAAAATACCCAAACCGGGGACTTGGAGCAGCGACATAGGGGTACTGCAAAAGGCAATTCACCTGTCTATTGATCTTCCCATAATCGCAGAATCTTGTTACATGCTGTTGACACCAGTCAACTATTACAACAATGCACACAACCTGTTATAAACTTGTTGGTAAACCAACTGGTGACTCTGGCGTGATCCCAATGTAGCGATTAATATTGTTACGAGCTTGAGGTTCGAGACAATTAAAAACTGCCGATTAAATTACCAAAATTGGCACTTTAATTACGGACACTAATTACACCTTAAAACACACTAATAATAAAACACAGTCCGCCGTTATTTCGCTTCGAAGTATTCTCTTGTATCGCCAATTCAATAATGCCCCGGTCGTGGTCTATACCGGCCTTATATAGGGCCTCAGATAGTTTCCAGAACCTTCTACTGTAGCGACATCTAGAATGTTCGAGTATATATCGGTCCCGAAATTTCTGGAAGGATCTCGACTCTCCTAGTTCTGCTACTCGACACTAGAGGGCGCTAGTGTGACTAGTGTTGCCATGTACAAGACATTAATAGTGGCGCGTAACACTGCCCCCTCCTAAGACATGCTCGTCCCGAGCATTATTGGCCCCATAATAACGCGCCAGTCGATCCACATGGACAATCTTAGGAGTACCTCTGGCACCTTTCTGTATCCGGTAGGTTACATCATTGATCCTTGTCACAATCCGGTACGGTCCGTCCCATTTAGCTTGAAGCTTAGGAGATTTCCCTTTGC